AACTGCCCGGGCTGAATTGGAACTTTCCACCCTCTTGCCTCAGCCTCCCAGAGTTCTGAGATTACAAGCATCCACCACCACACCCAGCTCATTTTCTTTACTTTTTTTAAGCAAAACATTTATTGGTCCTTTCTAGATGTACACAATGATCACACTCAGAATAGGAAATCTGTCTCTGTTAATGATATACCTGTTCATTCCCTTTCTCTCATTCCCCCTCCCCTCACACCCTGCCCCTCCCTATGTACAAAAGCTTTGTTTCCATTTTTTCCTTCTATTTTCACTTTTTTTGTGTCACTTCCTTCCTTCCTTTCCCCCTCCCCCTCATTTGTTCCCCTTCCCATTTGAACATTTTATTCCCATTTCCCAACACCTATTATACATTTTAGTCCTTATTTCCACTTTTGGATTCTCACACCAGAAAAACTATTCAGTATTTACACATGTGTGTCCTATTTATTTCACTTAAGAATATGGTCTCGAGGACTATTCATTGAGCTATAAATGTCTGAAGCTCATCCTTCTTTACGGCAGAGTAGTACTCCATTGCATTAAAAAAAAAAACACACATCTTCTTTATCCATTTGTTGGTCAATGGGCATTTGAGCTGTTCCCAAGATTTAGCTATTACAAATTGTGCCTCTATAAACATGGGTGTGCATATATCGCTGTGGTATGATGCTTTTAATTCTTTCAGGAAGATACCAAGAAGGAGAATAGCTGAGTCAAATGGAACCACCAGTTTTCGTTCTTGGAGGTATCTCCATACTGATTTCCACAGTGGTTGCACCAGTCTGCACTCCCACCAGCAGTGGAGAAGGGTTCCTCTCTCTCCACACCCCTGCCAGCATTTGTTATTGGTTGATTTCTTGATAGCAGGCATTCTTTCTGGAGTGAGGTGGAATCTCTGTGTTGTTTTAATTTGTATCTCTCAAATGACCAGTGATGTTGAACATTTTTTCATGTATTTATTTGTTATTTCTACTTCTTCATCTGAAAAGTGTCTGATCACTTCAGATGCCCATCTTTGGATTGAGTCTGTAAATGTGGGGGGGTCTGATTTGTATTTTTAGTTCTTCATATATTCTATATAGTAGGCCTTTGTCTGAGGAACAGCTGGCAAAAAAAATTTTCCAACACTGTGGGTCTCTTCACTCTGTCAGTGGTTTCTCTTGCTGAGCAAAAGCTTTGTAATGAGATATCTCAGTTGTTGATTCTTTATGATATTTCCTGTGTGATCAGGTTTGTTCATAAATTCTTTACCTACACCAACGACCTTTTCTACTTTCCAGCAGATTTAGTGTTTCTGTTTTAATACTTACATCTTAGACCCATTTCCATTTTAGTTTAGTGCATGGTGATAGGTATGGGTCTAGTTTCAATCTTTGGCATGTGGAAAGCCAGTTTTCCCAGCACCATTTATTAAAGAGGCTATTTTTATTCTAGTTAAGGTGTTTGGCTCCTTTGTCAAAGATAAGGTAGCTGAGTGTGTCTGAAGTTGTTTCTGCATCTTCTAATCTGTTCTGATTCTCAGGTCTGTTTTTTGTCAGTACTATGCTGTTTTTATCACAGTATCAGCTAATTTTCTTAATGAAATGAAATTAGAATACAAATTATCCAAAAACACATACATAGATGGTAGTGTGTAGTACATATATGTGCAGACATAGTATACGAATTGCTGTGTTGTATGTGAACATGTATGTATACTGGGTAGCATTATGTTTTTCTTTATAGTAGATCCCAGATAACTGGGGTTTTTTTAAGTTTGGAAGTCATAGTCCTAGAACTCTCACTGTTGCTTAAAAGAGAACACCCATGGGCTGGGGCTTTAGCTCAGTGGTTCTGCTGCCTGCCTTGCAAGTGCAAGAGCCTGGGTTCAATCCTCAGTACAAAAAAAAGCAAATAATCAATTCATTGTAATACACATTGGTTTTTTGTGTTTTGGTGGGTTTTTTTGTACCGGAGATTGAACTCGGGTCCTTATGCTTGCAAGGCAGGCAGCAGAACCACTGAGCTAAATCCCCGGCCCCACATTGGTTTTTTTTATAACAGTCATGTGAAGTATAAAAATAGGCACAGGATTAATAAATATCAGCCATAAGTATGTGCAAGACCTTGGGTTCAATCCCCAGCACCCCAAAAGAGAAAAAGGGGAACAAAACACTTGAAGAGAAAGCCAACATCGGCCATGTGGTCGGCTGACTCAAGGTGAACCCTAGGTCTGAAATCTGCCTCGCTCCTCTCTCTGCCCGTCTGGGAGTTAGGACAGAGCCACGGGTCCTGAAATGGGGAGCACAGAGTACAGACATGTAGCAATCCCACTGATTCTCCAGGGAAAGAGGGAAACGCCAGCCACAAACGTGATGTTTGCTACTAAGGGGGAAGGGGGTGGGGTGCTATTCTCTACTTTTCTGGGTAAGTGGAATATTTCATACTTTAAAAAATTTTGTCCCGCCAAAAAAAGACCAGCCTAAGCTGCAAAAGAGTGCAAGACAGCTCAAAATACATACAGACCTTCTGTCAAAAAAACAAAATAAAACTAAACAAAAAACAGCGTGATTATGTAATAATGACGTTTGAAAAAAAAAACAACAAACAAACCAGGAGGGAATTTGACAGATATGGGTTTAAAATTCTCGACCACTTGGCGGGGGGGGG